AAATAAAATGACAGCATTATCGTTTCTGTCAGAAAGAAATACTTGTTCTTGAACCGCAGTTGAACATATTATTGAAATATTCAAATTCCAAACGAAGGATTTAATTTCCACACCACGTATGAACATGCTCATTTGGTTAGAGTAGATCCTACAACAATGGATTGTGGCAAAAGAATATTGTACTCTAGAACTCTAGAAAACTAACAAGAGCATAGTACATAAAATGTACTGTCTACAACTACAACCTTGTTCAACAAGGCTCATCACTAAAGCAATTCCCACCATTCTCTTCCCCTAACTTCACTTCACAATTCAGAGCCCTGGGTTCGATCCCCACAAAAAGCTCAAGCGATTTTTTTCATGAACTTATCTGTACTGTGATATAGGGCTCAGCCTATGGCAATAAATGGGTTGTTATCGTTACACATATATATGTATTATATTATACAGTCTTGATTTCGTCTCAGAAACAATCTAACTATGTTGTAGAAAACCGAAATACACAGTGGGATCAGCAGACATCCAAGAAATAATAAAGAACGGTAGGCTATTCGATACGTAATCTCCTGTCTACACAACTTCTCGGCAGTCTGGTCAAGACACTTTCGGTGGTTTGTTTTACTTCGGGGTTGGGGTTATTGTTTTAGATTATTGTTTTTAACAGAAACAAAGTGTTCATAGGCCCAGTCACCCTACTGCATGCCAGGCGGCCGAACTTCATTCCTGGAGTCACTCCCACCGGCTGGAGGCTGCGCGTCTGGCTCGGTACCCGGGGGTTGGGGGTTCGCATTTTCTAGTTTCAAACGTGCCTGGGCCGTCATGAACTCCGGGTACTCCACGTAACCGTCACGGTCAAGGTCATCCGACTCGAGGGCGGCGTCGATCACCTCAGACATCTCGGCGTCCGTGTATTGTTTGGGCGGCGTCGAGCCCTGGGAGTTCTCTAGAAGAAAAACACAGTAAATAAGATCGTTATTGTTTTTTGTTTTTTTAATTCTCGTCAATGAACAGAGTTTGGATCATTCAGGGGATGGGTTGCTTCGACCCTGCATGCAAGGACCTATCCGGCAGGAGAGAGAAATCTCATTCCAACGGACAGATGTAGGTTCTTGATTTTAAAAAACACAAAAAACAACTGACCGCAGCACAACAAACGCTGTTGTGATAAACAATACTGAAACGTCAGCTTGAGACTGAATCGAATCATATATACCACACAGCGCAGTTCACACTCACGGCAGATTGAGTCAAGTACACACATGTAATATGTAGTCTAGCACGCACATAGCGAGCACGCAAAGCAAAACACGCTTATAGCGAATGTATTTCCAGACCCCGAATTTTGTCCTTTTACAAATACATATATATCCTATTCTTTTAAAGCACTTACTTACATCTTATATATACACCGTCAAACTCTTACTTCTTTAATAGTAAGTGTTTTGCATCCCCATCGATATAGCTTAGATCATTTAGGAGACTGGTTTGACCCAGCCAGTGAAGGCCATCCCGAGCTAAGAGGGATACATGTACAACATCCCAGCAGACAGATCGGGATACACAATGAAAATTTTCTCCCCACTCGGGAATCGAATTAAGGTCTCCTGCGTGCGACACCAAGGCGCGTAACAGCTACAACACAGACGCCGGTATAGTAAAATGCGTACATAACGAAAATAGTTTCGCGT